CACAGAGCTTCTTCCTGTCCAGTTTGCTTTGATCGGGAACATGCTTTGATTTGCTGTCAGTAGTGTCAATGTTTTTGAAGACATCAAATTAAATGAACATTAGGTACGTCCTGGGGACGGGAAGCATCACAGAGGCACGTGCCTGCATTGACAGGTTGATTCAGACTTAGATCCAGCTGAAATATTTCCAGGACATTTAATATCGACGAGTTCCTAAAACCATGCAGCTTTACGCAGAGGGATGTGTCAGGGCCTCTGTCCAGTAGCTCCCATTCAGTCTGATGCGCATTGAGGAGATCTGAGTGTGATGGGGACTTGCCATGTGGGCTGCCTCTTCACTCTGTTGAAAGAAGCTTGTGGTTAGCTTTTGTACATTTCTCCAGAAAAGCAAAGCTTTTTCCAATTAAAGTGGACTTCGTATTTAAAAAATGCCCTCACCTGTGTGGCCTATTAGAGAGCTTTTTTTTTATATTTTTAAAATTTTTTTTTAGATTTATTTATACAAGCACTGGGTATAGTCAGAGGCGCGGGAGGGTGAGAGAATTCACCAGAGCCAGAGCGGGGAGCAGAGCAGGCAGAGGGACCAGGGTACACTGCTGAGGGGAGCAGCAGGTGGCGGGGGGTGGGGGTCTGCGCGCCATGTGGGACCCTCCTCCGGTGGCCAGGGAGCAGCCGGGGATCGAACCGGCGCTGCAGAGGCTGCGGGCAGCTTCGCATCCCAGCACTCAACTGCTGCGCCACCGGGGAGGCCCTATTAGAGAGCTCTTCTAAAGAAAGAGAAATGTGGCCAGCTAGATGAACTTCAAGGCTATCTAATTAATCATGTGTTTAAAGTGTCTTTATTAAGTCCTTTATATTTATTTATATTAAAATAATATAAATAATATAGTCTCTTTATTTATATTAAAAAGAGTGTAGGGGGCCTCCCTGGTGGCGCAGGCGGTTGGGTGTAGTGCTGTGAAGCTGTCTACAGCCTCTGCAGCACTAGTTCGATCCCTGCCAGCCCGCAAGGGTCCCACATGGCACGCAGACTTCTCCTGTCTCGCCCCCTGCTTCCTGCAGCAGTGTATTTCGTCAGTCTTCCTGTTCTCTTACCCACTCTGTCTCTGGTGAATCCTCTCACCCTCCCACACATCTGGCCTGTGCCCTGGTTCTTGCATAAAAAAAATAAATCTTTAAAAAAAAAAAAAAAGAGAGAGAGAGTGTAGGGAGTTAGCGCTAAAACTTAGCTTTTCTTTTTGCCTTTTTATTTATTATATATATATATTTTACATCATGATTCATTTTTAAACAATGTTTGCTTTCCCCCACCCCCTTAGGTGTAGTCTCTATAGAATTTCGTTCACCAATGCACCCGTGCACCATCACCTCAGTCCTCTGTGCTCCTCCCTCCCTTTGATCCCGCTCCCTCTTTCTCCCCTGCAGGATGTCTCTGGTTTATAATTGTCTGTTTGTTGTTGTTTTGCTGTGTTTTGTATTATTATTTTTCCCCTTGATGTCTTATTTGGTTCCCCTGTATTCCTCCTGTAAGTGAAACCATCGATATTTTTCTTTTTCCTTCTGACTTATTTCACTGAGCATAATTTCAGAAAAATATTGATTCAAAAGAATACCTGCACCCCTATGGGTAGTGCAGCACTTTTTTAATAGGTAAAACCTGGAAACTACCCAAATGCCCAAAAATAGATGACTGGATCAAGAAGATGTAGTCTAGATACACAATGGAATATTATTCAGGAATAAAAAAAGATAAACTAATGCCATTCGCAGCAACATGGATGGAGCTTTTCTTTTTTTTAACTGAAAACTCAGCAACATTCCCAACACTCATGTTGTCTCCAAGGGCAGTGGGAAGACAGCTTTCCCCAGACGTCCAGCTCCTCACTGACTCCTCCAGAGGCAGGGAGTCTGTTGGGAGCAGGAAGCAGTCGTCCAAGTTCAGAGCAGGGAGAGACCTCGAGCTGGATGAGTGACCTAATCACAACCACTTAAATAACGCAACTCAGGCCCTGAAGCGAAGTGGCTGGCTCAGGGTCGCAGGGCTGGGTGGAGGCAAAGCTCCATGCCCACATCTAAATCCTCTCTGTTTTGCTGCCCCACACCTGCCTCATTCTGCAATGCTGCAATTTTTTATCTTTTAAATTATTTTTAAATTGAGGTAATGGTTTATACCACTGTGCAAGTTTTGGGGGTATAGGTTTGTCCCTCTTCATATACAACTCAGCCATTCCACTCCTAGGTGCCTCCCGAAGCACGGAGGAACACTAATTCAAAGGGACGCTTGCAGTCCTATGTTCATTGCGGTACTATTGATATTTATGATAACCCAGTCATGCAAACAACCTCAGTGACCAAGGACAGAAGAGTGATGAGCAAGATGTGGTGAATTTACCCGATGGGATACTACTTAGCTATGAAAGAGACGAAGTCTTTATATTCATAAGCACAGGTGGAAGTGGAGGGGATGATGCTAAGTGAAATAAGTCAGGCAGCGAAAGACAAATATGGGATGACTTCACTATTCTGTGGAATAGAGAGTAACATTGGTTTAGGGCCTCCTTGGTGGTGCAGGGTTAAAAGTCTGAGCACTATTAAGCTATCACCAGCCACTGCGTCCTGAATTCGATATCCGACCAGGGAGCTGACCCACATCAGACCTCTCCTGTTTTGCCCGCTGCTCCCCTCAGCAGTGTATTTCAGTGGATCTGCCTGTTCTGCTCCCCACTCTGTCTTTGGTGAGCCCTCTCACCCCCCACACCTCTGGCCTACGCCCCAGTTCTTGTATGTATAAAAAAAAATTAGGGCCTCCCTGGTGGCACAAGGGGTTAAGGTGCAACCTATGAAGCTAGCCGCAGCCACTGCAGCAAGAGTTCCAGCCCTGGCTAGCCAGGGAGCTACCCACATGGCGCAGCAGGCCTCTCTTGCCTCACCCGCTGATGCCCTCAGCAGTGTATTTCAGTCAATCTGCCTGTTCTGTTCCCCGCTCTGTCTCTGGTGAATCCTCTCAACCCCCCACCTCTGTTCTGTACCCCAGTTCTTGTATGCATAAATCCCACCTCTGGCCTGTACTCCAGTTCTTATATGCATAAATAATTCTTTAAAAAAAAATAAAAGCGTTTGCACTAGAGCGCCAGACAGCCTGGGCTCCATTATCCTGCTTTAGGAGCTGTGTGACCTGGTGGGGTAGGGAGTTTCTTCTCCTGTCTCACTTTGCTCTAGGGCATGAGGTTATATGACAGGAGGCCCCCAAATGCATCCCCTGCTCCCCGGGGCTCAGCAGGGCTCCCCTATGCTGTCTTTGGAAATCCAAGAAATGGAGAGTGAGGCTCTCCAGCCGTTTCCCTGGAAGTTGAGAAACTGATCTTAGTTCCATCTTCCTTGAGCACTGCGGGTCTTGTGCACTTCACAGTTCCGGAGATAGGCTGGGAAAAGTCTTCACCACAGACAGGTTTATGATGCGGGTACTGGCTCCGCTTTTCCGCCGCTTTTCCGCGGGCAGTTCTCTTGCTGGAGAGGCCCGGCAAGTTGTAAGAATCGCGGGGCACAACTAATTTGGTACAGTATCTTCTGTGACAATAACTTCAAGAACCCTTTTCAACCCTAGAAAGGCATAAAGGACCGGCGGGGCGGAGCGCTGGTGAGATAACTGGCCCCAAGTCCTTCGCAGCAACGTCGGCAGACCCTTTCATTTGACAGCCACAGCCCCCCAGGTTTTGAAACGCCGGGGTCCTCCAGGCATCCAATCGGACCCCAGGCGGTCTGAAACCTGGGTTCCCTGGCCAGGTTGGTGCTTGTTCCAGGGGACCAGCTGCGCCTTATTAGCTCCCCCTCCGAAGGGCTGGGAGTTCCCTCCCCGGGCCTACCCTGCCAGGGCGCGGCGCCTCCGCAGCGTGGAAAGAACCGGGAGAACGACCTGGGCCAACTCCCAGCCTGCAGAAACTGCTTTTGGATTCCTGGGGGTGGGGGTGTAGGACTGGGGTTGGGGGGTGTTGTGGAAACAGCAGGTCCAGCACCCCAGGGTTCCCGGCGAGAGAACTTTTGAGGGTGTCCCGTTGGCCGGGCCACCTTGCTTTCTTCGGGTCGGTCTCCCCACTGCAGCGGCGGCCCGGGGCGGCCCGCCCGGGGCGTCGGCTGCCAGGGCTCCCCGCTGGGGTGGCCCGTCCTTGCTCTAGTCGCGGCGGGCGAGCAGCTGCCCCTCTTCGGCCCCGGGTGCTCGCGATCTCGGTGGGACTTGACCTGCTTGCCACTTCCCGGGCCCGCCGGAGCGCTGCGAGGTCCGGGCGGCGGGGATCGCGGGTCCTTCGCCCTTCCCCGGCCCGTCACTCCGGGGAGGGTCGGCTCGCCCCCGCCTTGTCCGCCCGCGGCCGGGAAGCGCTCGCCGCGCCGCGACCGGCCGGGCGTGCGCTGGTGCGGGGAAGGCCGCCGCGCCCGCCGCCCGGCATTCCTGGGATGCCAGCGCTGTGACGCGCCCGCGGCCCGCGCGCTCGGGGGCCGCCGCTCCACGTGGCCGCGCCCCGCGCGCGCCCCCGCCGGCAGCCTTCCCAACGCCCGCGCGCCCCCCGCGCGCCCCCGCCGGCCGCCTTCCCCCCGCCCGCGCGCCCCCGCCGGCCGCCTTCCCCCGCCCGCGCACCCCCCGCGCCCAGCCGGCCAGGGGGAGCCGCGGCCCGGCGCCTGCTTGTCCCGCCCACTCGCGCGGCCCCTTCCTCCGCCCCTCCCCGCGGCTCGCATTTCCTGCCGCCCGGCTCCCGGCCCCTCGGACTTCTTCCCAACTTTTCCTCCCGAGCGGGCGCGGGCGGGGCCAGGTCGCGGCTCCTCGGCGCTCGGCCGCCGGCCTCCCGGCGGGGGTCCTCGGACCGTCCTCCCCACCCCGCCGCCCCCGCGGCCCCGGCCCCGGCCCCCCGCCGGCGGGACCCCGGCGCCCGGGTGGCGGTCGCTGCGCCCTCGCCGTGCGCCCCGGCGCGGGGAGCGCCCCAGCCTCCCTCCCCTTCGCCTCCGCCGCCGCGGCTGGAAGGACTCGGGCACCGGGCGCTGCGGACCGCGGTCTCTCCGCGCGGGACCCCCGACCCGCGGGCCAGCAGGTGAGCGCAGGGAGCCGGGCCGCGCCGGGTCCCGCGGGGCGCTCCGGGCCGCGGGGCGCGCGAGGGCCGGGCCGCAGGGTCTTCCGCCGCGGTGGGACCTGCCCTCGGGGCGGCCGGGCCGGGGCGCGGCGATGGAAAGGTCGCGCTGCCCAGGAGTCGTGGTTGGACCCGCATCCTCGTTCCCCTCCTCTCTGTCTCTTCTGCTTGAGGGGGGCCAGCGCGGGCCTGGAAGGGGCAGCTGGAGCCCCCCGGGCGGTGGTCCTGGAGGGTAAAGGCGGAGGACGTGCTGTGGCTCTCCCTGGAGAGGGGCGCACTCCCTGCTGCCTTTGCCCGTCTGGGAACCGGAGCAGGGAGGAGGGGGCTTGGGGAGGAGGGAGGGGGAAGAGTCTTTTGCCCTCGGGTAGGCCCCAGCTGGCCAAAAACTCCTGGGCGTTGTGGTCCCTGCATGGCTGGTTGGGTTGGATCTCAGGGAAAACCCATGGCCGCGTAATTTCGGAACAGCCCTGCATCTCAAACTTGCAAAGTTCTGGGTGTGAGCAAGGCCCCGGGGTGGTGGTAATGCTTGCTCCTCTCTCTCTGGCATGACCCCGACTGCGTTGGGAGGATGGGTAAGTGGATTTTCCACCTCTTTCCAGGGAGCCTTGAGGAAGGGGGATTCCCTGCTTTCCTTACATTAATCCCTTCAGTGGCTGTCACCCCTGCCCCCCTCCAATTTAAGACTGTGGGTTCAGTGGGGGGGGGGGGGGAGGACTGGCAGTTGCGGTCTCTTTGTGAGGGTGAGGGCTCTTTAGACTGTAGGCTACTTTCTCATTACAGGCTTGTAGCAAAGTGTTACTTTCTTAAAATGGCTTAGTCCACTCTGGCATACAGCTAACCTGCCTAGTCCTCTGGGAGCTGGAGCCCTGGGGGTGGTGGTGGTGGTGATGGTGCAGTAACAGGGGCTCAGAGAGGACCCTGCATCCCTTGGATGGGCAGTGGGGGGAGCCAATAAGGCTTATTGTGGGGGTGCCTTGTGCCCAGAATTGTAGGGTTGTCTCTTGGGGTAAGTTGTGGGGGAACATGCATCAGGAAGAGTAAACAGCCAAGGCAAAGAGAATCTTCTAAGATGTACAGAAAGGCCTGACCCAGCTGTGGGGTTGGGGTGGGGATTTATGGTCAGGTGGGTGCAGGGTTGCTGGGTAGCTTTTTTTAAAAAACAAAAAACAGAAAACATCAGGCATGGAACTGGAAGCTGTTACCTAGTGATGGGAAAGCAGCTTCCAGGGAGCACCGGTCGGTCTCCCCTTTTAGACACACCTCCATTCCTATTGAAGTCCAGCAAGCAGCAGGCATGCAACCATCCACATTTTAATTGGCTCACTGGCCCCAGCCAAGGCTCACAAGTGTGTGCCGCTGGTCACCTCCCAAAGAGCTGCCTGAGAACAACAGGTGATACTACCTGAGCAGACCAGGCCTTTCCTGAATGCCACCTTAGCATTTGGTGAACGGGTTAGGAGCCTATGCCTTAGACCTGATGGCCTTAACGAAGGGCTGCTGTGTAGTTGGTATGGATGTCTGTCACACTGTTCTCTGTTTTTGACAGGGCTTATTCAGTACAGCTGTAGTGGCTGCTTCTCCTCCTGAAAGTTTGTGAGAACTGAGTGTCTCCTGGTGGGTTGTTGTGGCCCTGTGGCTGGGGGTTCAGCACATGCTACCAAGGAAAGTTCAAGGGCTTGCCTAGCCATTGGGGTGTTGCTCCGAGGCTGGAGTGGTGGTGGAGTCCTGAGTCCCGAGTGACTGTGTCCAGCCCAAGGTGGCAGAGGTCTGCTTTTGTCATCTTGAGCCAGTGTATCCGAGTGAAAAAAGCAGACTGAATTCCTGCAATTTCAGGTCTTTCTCCACGTCCTCCCCACCCCCCAACCTGGCCATATCCCAAGAACCATACCTGTCAGTTTTCCTGAAGGTATAGGACTTGCCAGAGAGAAATGACCCAAGACGAGCCCTTCTTGCTAATCCTAGGACCTGCCCAGCACCCAAACTGCTTGCACATGTCGTTGCCATTAATAGTTGCTGTACTGAGGTTTGTTGGTGCCTGTGGCCAGCGATGGGGAGGGAGGGAGAGCAGTTAGACAACTTGCAGAGGAAAGTCAGAATTTTTAGGAGAATTATGCCTTGCACTGAGTGGATGGGTCAGGGGTCCAGAATTCTAGGACTCCCCGCCCCAGGCCACCTCTGTTTTCTTGAGAGAAGCCTGTGTGTGCGCGCGTGTGCGCACGCGCGCGCGCACACACACACACACACACACACACACACTCAAACACACTTTGATGTTCTGCCTTTTCCCCCCTCTTGTCCTTCTAGTCTCCTCTCCTCTTCTGCATTTGGTCGTCTTTACTTAGCCACCAAGTGCTGTGTGTTTATTGAGCTCATGCTAAGCCTCTGAACAGTGCTATGTGCTTGGTTCGAGGTAATCAGGGGAGCGAGATAAGATGACATATTTAATGAGCCAATTAAATTATTGCTGTTTGGGTTTATTAAATGAGGGAAAACAAACAAATTTTGGTAGAGGGGAGGTAAAATGTATGTCTGAAATAAGACTGTGGTCTCCCCTTACTGATTCAACTTAGCTTTCCCTGTGTGAGCCCGGTGGAGGCTGAGTGGGCCAGGCGGATGTGGGGCAAGTTTTGGAGCTTTCCCTGGCCCGGGGTGCTGGGCTGGGAATCCAGGCTTGGGACTTCAAAACTTAGCTGGGATGGAACTTCTGCTGTGCCATCCTTCAGCTGCATGATCATGGGTGGGCTTTTTGGGGTCTCAGGGTCTTTGTCTACAAGATGGGGCGGGTGGGTAGTAGCTGACTGGTCAGTGCTGATGACGCCTTCAGTGAGAGACTGGGGGTCAGCTCTTTACTTGGTGCCCTGCACGCAGCGCCTTTGGGCAGGATGGCTATAAATATCGGAGGAGCTGAATGTTGTGAATGTCCTCTTTGTGTGTGTCATTTTTTTCTAGCAGCCTGAATTCACATGCATGCCAACATACACATAAAGCTTTGTCTCTGACCTTTTTTATTTTTTATATATTTTTTTTTTTGGTCTATTGGCTCAAAGCAAATGTGTTAGCTGGCAGCTGCCATGGCCCCTCTTCTGGGAGGGGAGGAGGATGAGCTGTGGGTGCAGGCATGAGGGAAGTGAGGACAGAGGCACTTGGAGGAGAGCAGACAGAAGATCCCTTTCGCACAAGGGCCTGTGCTCACAGCGGTCCTTGTCTTTCTGATGTTGATATCCAGTTGATTAAAGAAGTCAGAATAACTGCCTGCCTTGAGCAAGCCTGCAGAAGCCAGCCCGTCATCACAAAGGAGCCCTTTTTGCAGCCTTGATTTCCTTCTTTGAAGTCCAGGCATAGTCACCTGCAGCACCTCTAGCATGATGCTCCCTCAGGTGATTTGAACGTCAGTGTTACCAAGGGTTGCCCTGCTTTTCAAAAGTTTGTACTATACCATTTCACTTTACGAAAGACCTATGCTATGACCTGTTTTTCCGCTAACCAAGAGAAATTTGAAGAGGACTTCCATTTTTAGGACAAAAGGTGAAAAGTGAAAGTGGAGTTCTGTCTTGGTTTTGTAGCTGCCACACCTTGAGCAGGGAACTGCGCCCCCCTCCCCCTTCCTGGGAACAGCTTTATACAGATTCAGTACACCTCATAGTCCTGCTTTTGCCTAATGTGAGTGTTGTTTTAGGCTTGTTTGACATTTCATAAGCTTTGATAGGTTATTTTTTGGGCCTGGGACCACTCAAAATTTTTTCCATATAAGTAAGTGTCTTGTAATTGCTCTGTCACTTTGAGCCAGGTTCAGTTTACAGAAGGTTTCGCTGGAATGCTCTCCTTTCAGAGAGTAGGGGAACCCTGTACTTCATCTGAGAAGCCTCAAGTATTTGACCAACATTAACTCTTTGATCTTCAAACTAGCCTCCCAGCGGGAGGAAATGTTAGAAGAAAGGAAAGGCTTGTAAAATGTCAGGAATGGTGTGTGGTGTGTGATCTCTGAGCAGAATGGATTGTTACAGCCAAGAACTGGTTAAGTCCCGCATGCAGGCCAGGAGGTCAGGAGACCCCTCTGGGGGTGGGGTGGGGGGGGGGGAAGACCTTGGAAATAGGAAGGACAGGCTGGACTTGTGCGAAGGGTGGGCAGAGGGATGCACTGCGGAACCCGCCGGTCTTGGCCATATATTGCATGCACGCTGGCTATGAAAATAGCCTCTGAATTGTTTATAATTCTGAATGGGAGGATGTGACGCAATGCTTGTGGACGGGCTTAGCGTGGCAAGGAAAGGTAATAGTTACCCAGTACCTTTTTGTGGGCAGGGGTGGTTATGCTCCAACTTGAGTTATAAGTGGCTTATTAACATTGTTTTAATTTCCTTTCCCCTTTTCCTGTCGCTGTTCTATTGCTTGGCTTGGTTTTGTTTTGCTTTCCCATCCAGCTTTTGTTTGCTTTGCTTCCAGGTCTCAGCTTTTAGGAAAAAAACAACACATGAGGGCCATGGGTGGATCCATCTCTGTGTAAGATTTGGTATGTGGGTGACTTGACTTCTCGAAGGTGCTCAGTGCGACTGGCTTAAGGCTTGACCCAGAGAGCCATCACTCATCCCGATGCCTGTAACCCTGGGCTGCCAGCCCTTACACGCTAGGTGTTGGTCACCAGAGTGGTGTCTGGTAGGAAAAGGAGAAAGGCATCAGCTGGGAGTGGTGATTGAGCTTTTAGTGTTGAAAATTAGGGGATTTTGCTCGGAGCCGCCTGGCTGGTGGCTTTATCTACAATGCTTTACAAGTTTTCTACAATGCTTTACAAGTTTTCGCTCACATGGCCTATCATTCCCTGTTGAAAATTAGCAAATTCCTCAGGCTTGTGGTTGAGCCAGAAGCACACTTGATACACACTCATTTCCTCAGGCCTTGGGAACTCCATACCCTGGGAGGGCTTTCTTCCACACTCCATTCCCTGCAAGTCAGCAGGGCGTTTCTTA